GATTCAAACTCGACCATGAGGCAACCATTGTACCTACTGTACCACTATGACAAAACCCATCTAATCCTTCACTCCTAGTTAACTCTTTAAGCTCACAGTAAACCGCAGCAAAACATCATTTCGACTGTTGTAAACGGTCCGTGAGCCAAATGCAGCCAACTTTAATCTTAAGTGAGCCAAACCACTGAAACATTTAACTACACTTGAATTCCCTGATACATAAATATCCAATTTAATTCAAATGTTGATTTGTCACCAGTTCAAAACAACAGTCACCCCAAGGCCTTTTATATTAAAATATAATATAAAGTAATAAAAACAAGTGCCAGAAGTCTCTCAGGAAGACTGTTTGGATTAAATTATAAGAAATAAATATGTAAATTTACATTTTTTTTCTGGTAGCACACTGACTAGACAGTCCTCTCATTCAAAAACATTAAAAACAAACATAAAGGACATATTGTTTTTGTTGACTGACTGAAAATGTTTTATTTATTAATTAATTCATTAAGTTAGCTTGTTTTGTTACTGTGGGCCAATTGTAGAAATCTTGGTGTAACATAAATAGTCATGGGCAAGATATTTATCAGTAGGAAAAGCTGTAAAACTCTAAAGTTTACGCCCTGCTTAACAGTTTCCAAAGCTGTTCAGTGGGCTGTATTGGAGTCATTTGACACCCCTGGTCTAGACCAGCAAAATTTTGGAGAATTTTCTTTTCTTTCAAGTTAAAATTAGAAAGAATAGCTCTTAAAATAACCAAAAGTTAAATTTATTTTTCTAATTATACAGAAAAATCTAAATAAATTTCTTCCCTGGGACATACCTACAAGCTATAGCTCCATTAAGGTCACTGTAGTAAAGGAAGGTAGTTATGCAATGATACCAAACACAATTTGTGTGAGGCAGCCATGCTCCAATTAAGATAGAAATCACCTTATTTTCTAATCCTGCACACAGTTTGCGGTGTTTCGTATCTGCCTGTCTTTATCTTAAAACTTACAGTTTTGCCCCACTCATCAACTACGTCACAGCCTTCCCCTCTTACTCAATCACTAAATGCATGTGCACATACTCATCACGCTTCCAGCCCTCCGTCTGTAACCAGAAAGCACTCCGGGCCCAAAAAGCCCCACAAGAATTTCTTAGAATTATTTCAAGTTTGACTCATAAAATGTGAGTCACACCCTTCTTCCGTGACATTTTCAGTCAGCAGACTTTTTAAAGATCTTTGTTACTGTAATATTTCATGTTGTAGTAATATACCAAAAACTATTAGTACAGCTGCTGCTTCAGCAATTTCTCTCTTGTCTTCATAATTTCAGATTTAAATTAACATCTGAAACTAAATAACATCTGCTGTGCTGTCAGAATATTGCCTATTTGTGAGTCAGACACTCGATCCCACTGCTCTGAATGGTCAGTCCATTAAATTTTCAGTATAGAGCTGTATGAAAAGCTTAAACAAATTACATATTTTGCTCATTTCTCGGGTGAAAAGATAAAATCTGGCCCAAAACAGACATTAAGAATGAGCCCATTTTCTTGCCAGGAACCAGTTTGCAGAAGATAACCGCTTAACTGATGTTTATAGGGCTGTGTGCAAATATGTGACATGAATAAATGCAAAAGAAATGCACATTTATATTTGGTGTTCAGGTAAAAACAGGCACTCACAACTTCCTTCTGCATTCAGTGGCACGATCTATCTTAAACTCTGGTAGGCTGACGAAGCCCTCCGCCTTCTCATCCTGAGATAAGCAAACAGGGAGTCAATTCAAAGTTCAGCTTGAAGAATGAAGTCTAAAACGTATCAATTGCTCTTTTATGGGAACGATCATATTCACCTCCTCATTCATGTACCAGTACAGACACGTGTCTTTCAGGATGAACCAGTACTTCTTCCACTTCTGCGAAAAATAGGTTTTAGCGTCTTTCTTTTTCCACAGCCAGCCCTGACAGTCGCCCTGACCCAAGTCCCTGCAGGAAATCCGCCGTTTGCTGATTGAAGTGAGAGGACTTCCAGCTGCAGGGAGCAGAACAGAGGAGGGGGCTCAGAAAACTCTCCTTATGAAGCACCTGCTTATATAAGGATTTGAGTACAAGTGAGCATGCATGTAAAATTCAATCCCAGAAAAATGATCCTACCTTTACCCTTTTTCTTTGATCTTGAAAGCAATGAGGATCGTTCAAAAACCTGCGAAATTAAAACAAAACACATGACGGCATGAAATAAATCCCGGTGTGGATTCTGACAATGAATGATTTCACTTTTCGTGGACAGGACAGACTAACGTGATACAAGGATGCAGAGTCAGAGCTAGACGTGGACCGGGAGACTTCCATCTGGAGGGCAGGGACGAGTGTGTAATGGGTCGGGCTGGCTCCTCGCTCGGTCTTCCTCCTGTTCTGACTCAGGCTGCGACCCAGGAGGAAGTCTTCGTGTGAGGTCTTGTCTTCACTCTCAAAATGCATCAGAGAATTCTCTGCAGGGACACAACAGAGGCAGACTATTATACACATCACAACAACCCAAAACTGATTTTTTTTTTCTCCTTAAATGCTAACGACACACTCTTACTAACGTCAATAAACACCGAATCGTCTGCTGCCTATTGGCAAGACTTTGGTTCAAGGCTTTCCACTTAAAATGAAAAGTGTTAAAACATCTACCAAGGAAGCCGTTGTCAGGCAGGAAGCCCTCAAAACTTCCAAATACTGCCTCTTGTAGATAAATATAGCTCCATCACTTTTTCTGAAAAGCCCAAAGGAGCAACATATCAGCAGCATCCTCAGAGGAAACAAACACATCACTCAAGTCGTTGTTTGAGGCTGAAATAAAGCAATTCAGTCTCCTCCCACTCCATTTACCACCTAGCTCAACAGTCACCAGCAAAATGTAAAAATCTTAGGAAAATATATTTATACAGTTGCCAAAGCAACAGCGTACTTTTTATATCCAAACTCGGAGGCACGGCGAAGCTGAGAGGGAAAAAGAAACGGAGAGAGGGATGAAGATGGGGGAGAGCTGTGATAGATAATGAACATATGGAGGAGATACAGGCAGGAGCTGATATCCAGCATGTTATCAGTTTTGACAGGCCAGCTTATCCTTCTACTTTTTGGCTGGGAGATCTGAGAGGGTGAGGATATTATGAGATCTCCTCCCACTCACCTCAGCTCCCTCTGTCCCTTTCTTCCTCCCTTTCTTTTTCTCTCTTTCCCACTGCCTCCCACTCACCTCTCCTGCTCTCTCTCTTCAGCTTGGCCAGGTCTTCGTTGTCTCCCACCCAGTTGTATTCCACTGGCATTGATATGGGCCTTAGCCTCCCTAGAGCAAGGAGGCACAGGGAACGGCAATATTACACAGCCTGCCCCCACACACAGACACACACGCACATACACACACACACAAATCAAAAACACCTAGAAACATTAAGACGTCACATCTGCACGGCTTTCAATTCTTGGCTCCCACGATTACAGCGGTGAATCCTCGGATGAGGCAGAGGTCTTACCGTAGGTGGGCGTGCTCCCCCTGCGGACTGATGCACCCTCTTGGTTCTGGTCGTACTCGTAACAGTACAGTATAGTATCCTCCTCCACCAGAGGAAATCGCCTTCGACACTCCTGATCCAAGTAGGAGTTTGGTGACTCAGATCCCTCTGCGACATGGACATCTGATTGAGGATCATCATCCGGCAGACTTCCCTTGTCATCTCTTCGGTAATAGAAAGCAGGAAGTCATTTTATTGTCAGGGTTTGGAATAAGATCAGAGAGAAGACGTTGTTCTGCTCCGAGCCCATCTGTCCCCATTAGAGATATATATTTTTGTATATACTTAGATTTCTTGGGGCTAAATCATTTCCACTGCCAATGTACTTTAGTTTTTAACAAACATTACTCAAACAGGAGTATATTCAGCTGCAGATTCCTACACATTTTGTGCTCTAGTTTTTATGGTATTAGGTAGTGTTTACGCAATTACACGTGTATTAAGTCAAACAAAGCACAGCGCAGGGAAAATAATCAGGGAAATAGCAGCAGGGAAAAATAAGGAGCACATCTCCCCATGCAACACCTTTTTCTTCTCAACAGCAGCGATCAATTTATTATCAGTTTTGATGGTTTTAATGGTACAAATCCAGGTATTTTAATGGTATTTATTCGTGATTTAAAATTCACAACACAGATATATTCCCTTTCTTTAAACCAGTTACAAATACAGTGATCACTAACATGAGATTTCTAACATGCATCCACTGAGGACTAATACAAACTTCATATATTTATCTCAATAATGCTCACCAGCCTGATTTGGCATTTGGGGGTATCCAAAGTAAGTAAGATTCATCCTCTTGGGACAATACATTCAGTAAAACATTACACAGAAACAAATATCTCTGGGTAAACAATACTAATCGTGTAGCTTTATTAGTTATTATCTGTAGTCGCGTGTTGGAGCTGACCCTGGGAAATCAAAGCTTTCAAGCATCAGTCAAAAATTCACGATTTATCTATGACTCTCGGAGGAGAGCGTTTCTTTATACACAGAACACGATGTACTGTGTTTGTTGTTTGCGTATGAGAGAAGCTGAAATCTGAGGAGGAACTAATTATTACTCATGTCACCAGTCGAGCCTTTCAATATGTGACATGGCTCCGTTCTTGTGGGAACTTTGTGACTTTGTGTGGGAGAAGCACCTGCAGCCACCGTGAGGTGCAACAAGATGTCTGCATGTTCAGAAGTTTCACTGTAAAGCTTATTCAAATGTTGTGCATCATATTTGCTACCAAACATAAAGGAAAACAAAGATTCTCACTGTCTCATTTTCTCTCTTAGTCCCACTCATTCCTGCAGAGTTTATCCAAACAGCAGAGGGTACAGCTAGGCTAGCTATTGTAGTAGAAAACTCAGACTGATGTCATTCAATAGCAATGAATGCAGCAAACTAACCTATTTGAAATGGGTAATCCTGTGAATTTCATTGCATGGCATCATTTACTCTTTTTATGTATTTACAAGTTGTCAAAAAGTGGCAAAGTGGCAAAAAATGGGTGAAATTAGGCTGAAAAGTTTTGACAAATCAAACTGATGGGTAAAATTTAAATCGCCAAACAATTTTCTTGGGGAAACCTAACATTTTGTCAGCCAACACATGGCTTTGACTTAATGCATTAAGACTCGTAGACATAGTCAAGAGAGCGCGCTGAAGTTCCAACCAAGCATTGGAAATTATTTATGTGACTTTAGATGTGGCAGGGCTGTTTGGTGCCACACAGAATGATCTGAAAATTTCAGAAACTGCTGATCTGCTGGGATTTGGTACGGAAAAAAGAAAATATCAAGGAGCACCACTTCTCTGTGTGAAAATGCTATATTGATGTCATTCTCCTCTGTCAGGGGCCAGAGGAGAATGACCAGTGCGCATCGAGCCAATAGCAACTTTTTAAAAAACAAGATATGCGGAAGCGGTTAATCAAACCCTGAAGTAGACAGGCAACAGCAGAAGACAAAACATGCTGCCTCTGCCAATCAGCTAAGAACAGGAAACTGAAGCTACGGTTCACACAGCCTCACCAAAATTGGATAAGACTTGGAAAAACATTGGATGCTCTGATGAGTCTCAGTTTCTGCTGCAACACTCAGTTAGTAGGATCAGACCTCACATGAAAGCATGGGACCATGCTATATTAATAGTTCAGGCTACTGCTGGTGTAATGGTGTGGGACATATTTTCTTAGCACACTTAGTGCCAATTGAGCCTCATTTAAACACCGTAGCCTACCTGAGTATTGTTGCTCACCATGATTCTGATGGGTGCTTTAAGCAGGATACCACCCAATCACAATCCCACCCATCACAAAGCTCAAATCATCTCAAACTGGTTTGCTGAACATGACAACGACTTGACTACTCAAATGTATTCCACAGTTAACAGATCTCAGGCCAACAGAGCATGTTTGGGTTGTGGTGAAACGGGAAGATTCAAATTATGGATGTGCAGCTGATTTGCAGTTTGCAACAACTGTGTGATATCATCCAGTTAATATGCACCAAAATCTCTGAGGAACATTTCCAGCATCTTGTTGAATCCATGCTATGAAGAGTTAACGCAGTTCTGAAGGCACTAATGGGTCCAACCTGGCACCAGCAAGGTGTAATTAATGAGTCAGTGGTTGTTTTACATTAAAGATTTCTCAAAATATGAACTGTGCATTCCTTTTTGTTCTTTTATTCACATATTTTTCATCGTTTTTCACCTCTATCTTTCACATCTTTTAAAACAGACTCCCCTCCTCTCACTGCCATTGTTGTTACAACGGTACACCTTCAGTAAATAAGATAACATGACTGTGTCGTACATAATGTGCACATAAAAACACTGCCCTGTAGTCACACAAAACTCTGGTAGGAAACCTTTTGCAAAGCAAGCAAAGTTTTCTGTGTTTTACATCTGCGTTCACCTGGGGGTGTAGGGCTCTGCTGGAGGAGGGGGAATGTAGAGGTCCTGCAGGGCGCAGCTACTCCTCCTGGACGGAGTGCTTAAAGTGCTGGTCGGCGTAGCGACACTGCTGCTGGGGCTCTGAGGGAAGATTGGCTGTGTGTAAGTGAGTGTATGTGTATGTGTGAGCATGTGTGAAAGACAGAGAAAAAGGCAGACAGAGAGAAAGAGCGAGAGAAACAGTTACAGGGACCGACACAATGAAAATTTGGAGCTCACAGCAGTTCAGTCAGTCAGTTCGGGGAGCGTTCACTCTGTTCAGACTGTGCAGCTGAGCATCTCAACCATGAAATGAGCTGTGTACTGTACATTTCTGATGCTTTAGTTCTAACTGGTGCACAGAGGAAGAGAGGCTGGCGTGCGGTCTAGTCATCCCTCTTAGTCAGGTCAAGGAGGATCTGTCCGTAGCCTACTTTGCTTGTTATGTACAGTAGACTGTTTTCTAAAGAAAACATGCCTTTGTGTTTAAGCACCACAATGTAAAATAAATTTGCCGAATGTATTGTCAGAATAAGAATATGCAACATCGTCAGCTTAACTTGAATAGTCGGAGAAATGTAATCCAATCACAAGAAATCATTGACTTCCAAAAAAAAAAGCTTTTTCAACAATAGAATACTAATAAGACATTGCTCAAACTATGCTGCATAAACTCAGCGCTGACCAATAGCTGAGATGTGACACTGAGTGGTCTGTGTGCTCCATCATAAGACCATTATATGAGTCACCGCGCAATGTTCTTTTCAATAACTTAGCAGAATACCTTGACATTTTAAATTTTAGTCACAGCTCAGATCAGAAAACACCACAGTCTCTGGTTGGCTTTTTTTTTTTTTTTTTTTTTTGCCCCTGAAAAATGCCAGCGACATAGCAGATTCGATTTAGGTGGAGAAGAAGAATGTGAGGACGTGAAGGGGGAGGAGGCTGAGCAGCACTGCGCTTCAGGGCCTCAGGGGGAGAAAACATTTTCTCTGGAATGGGACTCAAAGAAAGGCTGGACTACTTTAATACACCTCCCTCTCATTTCCACCCGTTCTGGCGCAGGCACACGGTCCTAATATTGTAATTGGTTTGGCTGAAGTAGGACAACAGATGCCACTTAGGGCTGAAATGTCAAAATCTGTATGGATCATGCTGGACATCAGTTAGTCAAAAGAAGAGTGTTTGAGATTTGTAAGGTGCATTACAAACATGTAATTATTGATAAAAAAATAGTGTTAAAGTCAAAAGTTGTGATCACAAAGTGGGTGGAGTCAGGTGGATTAGTTTGGACGCTACTCTACAAGCGGATTCATGTTACACTCTCATTTTATATTCTACCCATTTTAGGGTGATCGCGGTTTTTGGTGTTTAGCTTTGTACGTTTATATTCGCCACAGGCACAGAGATGAACACAAGCGAACAACATCAACAGCCACACAGAGACATGAATGAAAGCTATATCTGCGGAGCATGAAGGAAGTCATCATACCTGCAGAGCTAATGGTTTCCATCTCATGTTTTTCAGCAGAGCAGGGGTTGACGTGAGCGTGCTCTGGGGGCGTTTCTTCAGCGTCAGGGTGACACCTGCAGGATCTCCACGCAACAAGTTCACCAGATTTTTCAGCTGCCAGCCCACCTAGTGCACAAGAATAGCTCGATAAGGGTTTCCTCAACCCACACGGGCATTTTAATGCCTTAGACTGCAGAAATAACGGGAAATATTGCCTAGACTAAATAAACAGGGAGTGTTTTGTTTTTGTTGTTTTTTTGCCATATGTATTAGTGAAGTTTACCTTTGAATATTTGAGAATATAACAGTCATCATGTAATCAGTTTTTTACTATTACACAGAAATTTCCGTATAACTAGCTGATGGACTGTTAATCTATTACATTTTTAAAAATTCACCTTCATCTACCAGATGCTCATGCTGCAGTATCTGTCTCTGTAGACTCATATATGTAGCGATCATTATAGAATTTAATAGGTCGGATCTAAAGTTTGTTATCTGAACAATATTTAAATATGGTTGTAATGTATCCTTAAGTTCCAGGGTTATGTTCCTGAATAATAACCAGAAGAGTTTTTACAGAAAAACTTGACTAAATTTGACATTTGTCCATTACTTTATTACTTTATCCAATACTATTAGACATTTATGTGAAAATTGTAACAATTTTTGAGTTTTGGATCCAACCAGAACATCAGTGATACTAGTAGCTCACCCAGTTCAAGATTCATGACAATTAACAGGTTAAAATGACTGTAAAAAGGACAAAGGTGACATTAATCTTGAGAAGAGTGTGGGTGAAGACCCATTAGGTGATCATTGTGTGTAAGTTTGTTTAAATTCTGACCAATACTTTAGGCGGAGACGTGAGTCTTATGAGCTGTGGTTGGACAAATGGATGGGCTATCAATAGACCCCTTACCATGGCATAGGCTCATTGGTTCTTGAGCCAGATTAAAAAACATGCTATAAATGAACAGCTGGACCAAACCTGAACATATTTCTTCAAAAAATTCCTGAGAGTTTGTTTGTTTGCTTGTTTTAATCAATTTTAAATCATGCTTTTTATTTGTTTTTGTTTCTAATGTCTCTGTAAAGCACTTTGAATCACCTTGTTGTTGAATTGTGCTATACAAATAAACTTGCCTTGCCTTGACAGTCTGATCATGAAAAGGGGAAGGATGCGGGCTTAAAACATAATGTCTTCAGTCATGCTATCTTCAGAGAGGAGGCATAAGAAGCTGATATTTCAGTGTAACAATGCCACATATAGTCTTCTTATTAACTGTCTGTATTTCAGGTAGTTTCCATTCACGATTTGAAGTCATTTTCTTTATGTCTAATTTTTTTTTTTTTTTTTTTTTTTGAAGTTCAGTTCACCAGAAAATGCGAGCTGTTTTATTTGAGGTGCAGTTACTTTGTTATTTTGGTAATGCACATGGATCCTGATGGTTGACAACTGTAGCACAGCCTGCAGCCCTCTGAGGTTCATGTTGATGATGATGTTTAATGCAAAGCTGGATGCCTCAGGGCATCTTGCACGCCTCCTGCCATGTTGTGCTACAGCCTGATGTTGTGTGTTGCGAACAGCTGCATGCCATGTAAATACTCTTTAACCCAGTTTTAATGATATTTGGCACGAATAACATCCCGCCCAGAGAAACACTCTCTGCTGCTGAACCAAATATGCCAGGTCCAGTTTGGGGAGGAAAATAAAAAATTCTCCCGCTCGGTCAACCGCACTGAATTTTCAGTGTGTCTCGTGTATTTCAAGCACCCTGAAGTACCAGACATTTTTCAGCCTCTGACCTGGCAATCACTTTGTTCCTTGCCAAGTAATTTTTCACCCTTACAGCCACTACACAGAAATTCTTCACAGAAAGTGCATTAAAGACATAGACTGACTGAACAGGCAGACAGACAGACACTTTGCTTTTATTCTTTATTCTATGGTAGAGAAAAAAATGTTCTTCTGTGCGAAGAAAAAAAAGTGTTTATTTAAAACAGTAAATCCCTGATTTTCAGCTTTTTAAGCTGTTTACTTGGTAAAGAAATGTTCTGCTTTAAAGTGTTTCTTATACAACATCAAGTCATTGGTTTCTTCCTTTTGTTTCATCTCACTGGAAATTCAGATAAAACTCGTGAGCGTTGAAATGTAAAAATGTACCATAGTGTATGTGATATTTTATGTGTTTGAAGCTTTTTTCATTTAATGGCCATTCCTGCACCAGACTCTATCACTGTTGTCACGAGTTATTTACTTCTGTGTGCACAACACCACCAAAATAACCTACAAATTAGCAAACCCTTAGGTCTTTCTACATGTTTTCAAGTTAATCACAAGGCAGAGCATTTTTTTTTTTCATCATTCGTTTCCTTTGATGTAACTCGTTTGCTTTAGCTGCCATTTCTACATCCACTTCTTATGAAAAAAGATGCTCAGATCCAGTGAACTCTGCTCTGTGTCTTTTTGCTGGAGTACTCCCTGCTGCCTTAATTATAAATCCCTCAACTATTTATAACATGCCTTGTTTTTTTTTTCACTTGGTGGTGTTTTCGTCCTTGAGTATTAAGATATTTAACAACTTTTCTTTATGACTTGTTATCTCATTTTCCTGTAAGAAGAGATGGTGGCAGTAATCTGGGCCATCACAGACAAATCTAGTTCAATGCAGTTTCTCTAAACCCTCAAAGGAACGTTTGTGAACAATCAGCCGTAATTAAGTTGCTCTACGCTGTGCCATAATAAATTAAATGCATTAACAATGTTTAAGCTGGTTTAAGCAATGTTTATGAGTAACAGTGGAGTTTTAGCTCAGCATGTAACTCTACTGCAGTAATGTATTGCCTACTTAGGCTGCTGCAAGAGTCCATCCTCTGTTCGAGAACACCTATTGCTCAGTCCTACCCCACATACTAATTTCGGGCAGCCAATACATCATAATCGTGTTGTTTAGAAAGAGCTGAGAATGTCTTGCAAATCAGTCTGCAAAATCACTCAAATCATTTATACTATACTTCAAGGCCCTATTTCAATTAGCTGTTTCTGTGCTGGGCTTATGTAATGCTAATATTTACATTACCATGACAGGCTAAAATAGCTTCCGTAGAAGTTTTGTTTGAATACATTGCATTTTCCTTTGGTGCCCCACGAGGAGCATGACTCTGACTGACGCATGCTTCGGTAAAATGAAAATCAACTCTGCATTTCCACTTTTTCTCCAAAACATGGCTGCATTCAGAGGGTGACTTGACTGACTGAAATGAATCTGACTTGAGCTGTGTAATTATCATAAATCTCGCTGTTGCACACACAAGTAGCAATTATTTTAAACAAAGGGTGCTATATTTAAATTCCACTCTACGGAAAAGTGAAAGTTGAAAGTTTTTTCCCTTTCATTTCTGCTCATCACACTGTGTACGCTGCAGAAACAGACATTTTGTGCAGTTATGCCTCTCACTGACAGAAACAATGGCAATTACTTTGGCTGATAAGTGCTCATGCTGAATCTGGGGACAGCTGAGAACAATTTGAGGTCAAAAAGCCATGTATTGAAATAAAAAGAATGAACAGCAAACATCCCCACTTGGAGCCTGGATTATACACTTTATTATTTCCATTTCCCATCTGCTTTTCAGTTCTTTTCTGCTATCTATTAAAAAAAAAGAAGAAGAAGGCTAAAATTTGGTAGTTGCATTCAGGTACATCGCAACTAGCAAGAATGGTCTAATTATCAAGAAAAACAATTTGTGTGTGCCACTAGTTTCTAGGAACGAAAACAGAACTCTCGCTAGCACAAGTTACCTTTTTGAAGCAGGTACCTCTTGATCTGCTTTTAACAGAAAATCCAACTGACCCCATGATGGCCCTCAAAAACTACTACAAGAGACACTACAGCCAGTATCCTAGACGATAACAGTTGAGCTGCAGTGGCTCATAAAACCACTGAACTCCAGGAGCGTATAAAACAACAGCATGCATTCATAATTTCTTTATGCATGTAAAAAATGTCAAAATTAAACAAATATTTGTATAAATAATCTGCAAATGCAATGCAAATAACATGCAAATTCAAATAACACCAATTTTCTTTTAAAAACAACATAATAATAAGGCAGAGAAAGAACACGACCATACCACTGTCTGATGATTGACCTGGATGACTTCATCTCCAGCATGGATTTTCTTGCAGCGGTCTGCCAGTGACTGATGGAAAAACAGACCGAGTCATTAAAAGCAGCTCTGATTCAAGTAAAGTGTAAATAGTGAACGAGGTGAAACTCTGCAAAGGTGAGCAGAAAGACATTTGCACTTACTCCCTCTGTGGTGCCGGTGATCACATGCAAACCATCATATGTTGATTTGATATACATGCCCTGTGGGAATATAGCAGATATGTAAATGACTGCCTTGTAAAGCACAGCATTAGGAGTCGGCATCATCTGCACCTCAGCTCAGCCCCGCAGTCATTTGCAGTACAGACTACTCCATATTTGCAAATCTCCATTTGTTTTAATCTGCTTGTGGTGCAAAACTGGTAGAAAATCTGGGTTTTTACTCAGTGAAAGCCTGAGAGGGAAAGTGCTTTTATACACATCTCAATTTGTCTCAGTAGTCTTAAACAACCAGAGGAAAGTCATAAAATATCACACGGGTGCACTTTCTTTAAATGCACAGAACACTCTGCAAACTTATGTCATGTAACGAGTCCCTCGCAAGCAGATTAAATCAAAGATAAATGATTGTTTATCTGCAAATACTTTTAGTCTGGCGCTGCAAAAAGAAAAAAAAACCTTCAAGGCTTTCACTAAAAGGGGTCAAAAGTACAAGACAAACAAACACACAACTATTTACACACAGATATGCATGAAAATACATGCATAACTATGTGACACACACACACACACACACACACCGAGTCACACGCAGAAACGTAGAAGCAGCATGCCAGTCTTCAAGATGAGTGGAAGAGGTTTATTTTTAGGCTACTTGACCCACTGTTGTGTTCAGGTTTCACTGAACGGATGAAAGAACTTCCATGCCCAATGCTAGCGTTTGTGTGTGGGGGGTGGGGCTTTCACTGTGGCTCCAAGCAAGGAGCTTGTGCCCGAGTGTAGGTCAGTGCAAAGATGGAGTCCAACAAAGGGGAGCGTTTATATACAGTGCAAGAAAAGTATTCTCTGCTTCTAAACAGTTATATACAATCCTAAAAGTAAGTGCTAACAGAATTGCCAGTTGCTGTATTCTATTTGCTTGCATTTCACTCATCTGAATGTGGCCAATATGTTGTTTTTATGTCACATTTTATCCACTGACTCACATGCCCACCAGCTTAGCAAAGCCTAGTTTGGGGTCAGCTAATGTGAGTTACATTAGATATCGCGCTGAAAAGCAGCACGCAAGGTTTAAAATCTACAATCCATATTTCAGATGTTCTGTTTGCTTTGAAATGCAATTTTGGTCATTCCCAGAAAACTTGACATGACATTATCATCCCCAAGTTGAAATTCCAGAGATAGATATAACAAAAAAAAAGTAATCAAAAGAAAAACTGTATGCCTACTTCTTGATGCCTCTACAGGTATGTACAGACAACCAAATATATATACAGCTGTAGTCAGGCTTGACCAAGCCTTTAATGAAAATAGCCTCTGTATGCTTCAAAAAGTAAGTGTGTGCTGTTCCATTAGAAAACTGTATTTATAAAAACTTTAACTGGAAAATCAGGCAAAGTTAGTACTGGGCTTGAGCAGAAATATGTTTGCAGTGAGTAAGAGAAACGCTTAAGAGAATTTGCACATGCCATATTTGTATAAAACAAAATACTCTGTCATGCTGTTTAATCGTCATTAGTACGATTCACATTAGTAAGTTTTGTACTTTACTTTTTTGGCTTTTCCCTGTGTTCATCAAACCTGAAAAACAATTTAACATCTTGATATTTTAAGTATATTTCAAGTTTGTGAAAAGTATATTGAAATATTTGTTATGTGTATTTGTTATGTACGCCTTGTTACGTATAGTGAAGTACGAGGTATGTATGCCTGGGATTACTGTGTGATAGATGACCCACTCCTAAGAAATACCTACAAATTTCTGCCTTTCCTGTAATTATTAGTTAATCAGCTATGTGGCTATGTAGTCTACATAAAATGTGTAATTTATTTGTTGACTTATTATAGTATCTTTTCAAACTAAGAATATAATAAGAATTTATTACGTACTTATTATTAGTTTACAATAAAGCTGCATGAATGTTTCTGCTGGGTTTCTGAAGCTACACAAAATCCTTTAAAAAAGTGCTTTCAAATCTAGATTAAAGCCAGTAATTATTTCATCTGTTCATGGTTTTCATCAGTCTTGAAAAAGTGAGATACAAAATCTGAGCTGGATAATTAAAACTGAACCCATTTCCCCAAAATGGGTGTGATTCTGAGAGTCTGAGGGTCACTCTTACCAAGCCTTCAGTGGATTTTATGTTGGCGAGCTGCACAACCTCCAAATGTGCAGACTGGGACACCATGGGATCCGAGGAGAGCGAGATAATTTGGTCGCACACTTCAGACAGTGTTTTACACTGCGGAGGACACGTTAGGGATAAATACAATCTTCAGGCTTGCACATATTAGTTTAAGTATTTCTTCGATAGAACAACATTTCAAACTCACCACATTCAGGATCTTGTTTTCTGTTTCATACACAGAGCAGTCCTGAGGAATATTCAGAAAGCACTGTTACCTCAAGAGAATTTGTCAAAATGAAGTTATTATTGGCATTTCTGCTGTAGGTGGATATAAGCAAAAACCGAGCAGCTTGGCACCTATAACCCCCAACACTCCCACACAGGCAGGCACAAACACAAAACAAATGAATCACCAATGCGGAGGCACATCTTTCCCTCTCTCTTTCACTCTGCCAGTCTTCCTCTCTCTCAGCCTTCAATTATTTTCCCTTTTGCCCTCTTTCACGCTCACTTTTAATGTTTTCCCACTTTAATTTTTCTCTTAACTCTATATAAACATTATATTCCACAGAGACCAACCTAAAACCTGTACAGTTCTCTTAGTTTTAACTGATCTTTAGAGGCTCTATATGACTGACAGACCAAGATACAATAAAATGAAACTGCAGTTTATGATAAGCATCTATCTTTTCTATCACTTTAGAATATATTTTTAGGTCACTCTTTGAGGTGGCTCTAATTAGGATGCTGCTTTACATGAAAGCATATCTGACATATGAGAAACAAGTTGTGAAGTAGTCAAGTCCAATTTCAGCTTCTCATTATCTCTGACAGCTGCAAATTCTAAAACTAATAAAAAAGCAGGATGTACTGAAAGGGAAAAAAATGTGTAAATGTATATCTGCTTTAAGGTTTAGAAAGATTTTAAATGTATCCAGGGAATGAAGTAAAATTTTTGAGATTTCATTTTAAAAATCATAAGCACATTTACTAAAGAACCAGGTATTTTTCCAATTCTGCCATTATACTTTAATATGGATCAGCTTCCTTTTTTCTGACAGCTTTGTGATGATCCCAAGTTTGCTCTGTACACTATGAAGTAATACAGTACAACAGGATATGATACAATAAATCATTTCATATTTGTTACCTGTTGTACAATTGTAGTGAGCTCAAGACATAGCTGGATAACATTGTTTCTGGTCACAGAGTAATCTGCCACTGCTGCAAATGGAGATCTGAAAAAGAAAGAGCACCTGGAATGAACCATTAGATCATTCTTCCTTTGAGACTCAGTCACTGGTAAATTTTCCATATTTTTTTTACCAGCGTTTCTCCCTTTACATTTTTGGATTCCTCACATTTCTGCCTATGTTAGTCTGTTTTGGGGTTTTTATTTTGGAATGTGACGTCTGTAATGCTTTTAACACATTTAATAATATTCACATTTCTCCTGAGGCCGAGAGCAGCTGACGTAGAGCAGAGATTATTAGTTGCTGTTCTGCTTTTTCCAAATAACCTCACAAGTGCGTCCTATCCACAGTCAACAAATGCCGCTTCGACTCCCACGTTTCTATTTGTACAATTTGGTCAACAATTAAGCATTTTCAAACATGAAATGAAACACGGATTAGTGAATTTTAATTGGGATGAATGCTGTAAATCATGTCAGCTATAATGGCGGAAAGGCAAAGCAAATCACTTTGTTATTTTTGCTGAACGTTGTCAGCTTTGAACTTCCAAATTCATCAAACACAAACAGACACAAACACACAGACTGGCACAATCCCACAGGGAAGCAAGGATAAAGAGACGTATAAATAGACTTTCTCGGTGTCTTTTTGGCCACCCTGTCAAAATCTACTTATATAAGACTTTTACTCATCTTTTCTTGTCAAATGATTGGTCATGGACATTACACAGAAAAACAAAACCAGTCTGTATCTGTTAAAAAAAAACAAATCAGACTACATGTACCAATGCATGTAAACAGGAGTGTCTCATTCCTGTTTGATGTCAGAGTTATATATTTGATTTGGTGTGTGTTATTTCAAACCAACATAATAAAAAATGTTACATTAATTAAAATTATTATTATATCTTTTTGCTTGCAATTAGCACGGTTGTAGGTTTGCATCTACGACGAATCTAAGGAAATGTATGCAAGAATATACCCAGTATGCATATAAATATGTGTCCATGTGACCCTGTATTTATGTGTGTGTGTGTGTAGTTGTAAATGGGACCAGTACCTGAATCTACACAGCTCTGTGGGACCCTTTTTCACAGTGTGCGTCCACATGTTTACACATGACTTAGCAAATGTTTAAATTCATCTTTTTGCAAATCTCACCTGTCAAGCCATGCCAAAAGGCTTTTGGCAGCAGCAATGAGGTCCACCACTGAAGTTAGAAAGTCGTTGGGCAGCTTGCGGGTGGCTCGGCCGTCATAATGGCCACTGCGCCGCCTGCCTGTGATGAAATTCTGCAGGTTCTTGGCAGATGCGTTAAGCTTATGAGAAAGCGTTTTGAGATTCTCAGTCTCCAGCCCATAATTCTAGAGGGGAGAGGAAAGTAAATTCACTGTGTTTGACCAGTTTGTCAGTGTTTGCTTTCACTGTGACACATTCCATGAATATCCCCAGCCTGGAGATAGAAACCAATTGTTCTCTGATGGCGCTTTATGAATAGGAATACTACAGCCGACCAGCCCACCACGCTCCACAACAGAAAGGCTCCACATATGATGAAAATGTGTGAAACCAGCTGTCACTTTGCACGCCTGAGCATCGTTGAGCGCTCATTACACTTTGCGGCTAACTGCACGTGTAGGCCTATGGGCAGCTATCGTGTCATGGGTTTCTTGGGAGGGGAGAGCGCAGCAGGAGGGCCACTAATCATATTTAATACAGCAGTGCCTGAGAGACTTAAAACTAAATCCCAGTTACGTAAGAAGCTTTAGGGCTGAAGCAGGGCCCCCCGTGCAGCGATGCAGGATGAGTGGACTTTAGATTCAGATTGCATCTGTGACCTTAGTCTGGTAATCTCCACCCATTTTTTCTATAGATCTCAAGAGTTAACACAAACTTTATTGCACCTTGTCTCTGTTATTTCTGCTTCTCATTTATCATTTACCATCTTTTACTTTTATATTACTGCAGTCTAACTTTCTTTGGTTTAAAAACAGAAAATTTGAATTAAATACTGGAATTATATGTGCAAGTGAATATAAAAAAAACTCAAAATAAAGGAAATTATTAGGAGAGAAAATTATTTAGCTAGATGCTAAAGACACCTTACAAAAAGACTTTACATTTTAATTTCCTCTTGTGGTAAACTGGACAGCATGGCCAGAGTAAGTATTCTCAATTAGATGCAAAGCATTTATATGATTCACCCTTAGACACCTGAGCCACTGAGCATCCAATCCAACACCAAATAGTTCTTTCGTGTAGCTCCTGTTATATAAAGTGAAAAGTTTCCAAACCCCAACATAATCAGTACAAACTGCTTAATGGTATTTGTCCCTTATTTCAAACAATCAAACAGTTATTTTATAAATAATCTAAGAGTAAGTAAAAGAGTAAAAAACAATAATAAATTACTTCATCAATCAAATCATGTTTTCCAGAATAAATAAATTGTAACATTTTCACTGCAAATTTTAAGCACCAATATGGACACTTTTAGTAAGTAGGGTCTAAAAATATGTTCACATTGACGGACAAAAGAGAACATTTGGGAACAGCTATCCTGGGAAAACGTCCATTTAAGAAAAGATGTTCCTTAAATGAAGCAAAGCCTCCAAGCTAACTCAAGCTGCTCTGCGTCACTCTCCTTGCATCATATACCAAATATACCTTCCTGATCTGGTGGTCTATTTAAGCTACATAACTTCCCATCTCTCCGTCTGACATGCTAGTGCCGCTGCCGAATCGCCTTCTGTTTTACCCCCTTTACGCTCCAGGGATATATTTGCTCATGAGTCCCCAGTTTTATATGTAACATATTTGCACACAGAGACCAGAATCTGCTTCCAGTGCATTTTTTAATCTGTAGCATGCTTCTGATGATTGCAGTATATATTCGTTCATTTTAATGCCGTTCATTTGTCCATTACATGACTGACCACTAAATCTTACATTCTCGTGTTAGAAACAAGTCGAGGTCTCTACTCTGTATGCAGTAACATCCAGAATGAATGTTATAAGGAGAATAAATATTATGCTCCAGCTACTCCAGCTGCACATTAGCCAAATCAGCAGAACAGCAATCTATCATGCTGACACTAACAAAACTTGTGTTTTGGGGAACTAAGAGCAGAAATCCCTTCGGGATGAAGCGGTAATCCATGTCAACACTAACGACAGTTGTAAGATTTGCCTGTGGAAGATCTTTTGGCCAGATTAGTAACTCTGGTAGATTTGCTGTGATGTTTAAAAATTGGGGCCTAAAGCAATCCTATCTACATCCACTTATTCCTGGAATGACTGATTTCGTCAACTGACAGTCTTTGCAGTGATAATAACAATATAGAAATTGCATTCATTACTAAATATATCAACTGCTTACTGGAAAATATCTTTATTCTGTAACTTGTTATCTTCACTGACTTGTTAAATGATTTCACAGAGCTGCAGAGGTGCCAAATGTTCGACAGAAACTTCATCCGACAGCACTGACTTTCTAAAGTGACAGTAGAAAGTAGTGGGAAGATGGTGTGGGAAACTTGGACTCACCAGAGCACAGAGTAAGTCCACAGCCTCCAGTATCAGCTCCTGGTGGCCAATTCTGGATACTCCCAAATCTTCCAGCTCCTGGTGGGTGATACGCAGCAGCTGCTCCCCCCCTACTTTCTCCTTCTCAAAGGTCTTGATGTACTGCTGCAGGCAGTCGTCCAGCCCTTGGGGGAACACAAAGGACAAGAAAACTTTCAGCACAGCTCAAAAGCATGAATTTTTATTTGCAGACTGCATCAGATTTTCAGATTTCTTGTGAAACCACTGTTTGCATTATGCATTCTAACAGGACTTGATATCACTTGTTTTGCCAGAATATGTGCTGTAAATCTGTAAAGTGTGAGCACAGGTTGTATTTTGCTGTGTGCGAGTGTGAAGCAGTCTGTGTCAAGACAAGAAATCTGACACACTCCCCCTCGTCAACATTTCTGATCTGCATTTTCAGCTTCAAACCAGAAAACGCTTTCAGCTAGAAAGAAGCTATGTAGGTGTGCTCGAGTTGTTTTACATATTCAGCTACTGCAGCAGGTGTGAAATCTTTTGGAGAAACAGTTGATGAAGTGCAGCAGACAAAAACAAACTAAGTGATTCTGTAACTTCTGTCTGCGTCAACAGACACCCTGAAATGTATGACTAGAAACTGTTTTCTAAAAAGTATATACACAGGGTAAATCAAAAACTTACAAAAAAAACCAAAGTCCGTTACCAAAGCATCCCAAGAAAAGCCTTCAAAAAATACCTCAAGCCGTGATGAGGGGGCCGAGCAGTTCAGTAGGTGATAAGGGGGCCTAACAGTCCCCATGGCAACTTCTTTTGATCATGTTAAAAGCATGGCTGTGAGCTCTGATTGGAAAAATGTGTTTTTGCTTATTGCACATCCCCAGTGGTGATTTTTCCTCACGAACAACCAAAGGAAGGACTGCAAAGTCCATACACCTGTTCTGAAGAAAATACATGTTGCCACTGCCTTACGATCTTACAGTTAGGTTGAAAGGTCTCATAATTAGTTTTAAGGCTAATAATTCAAGAGGCATCTGCTTATTGGAGTCCCAAATAATGGTAAAAGCCACAAATTTGCAAACATGCTCTGGAGTCCACGTACCACGCTCGGTTTTGGTTTTGATTGATCAAAGCATTGAGGAGGTAAGATCTCACTTCCAGTTTATCAGTTTAGCTAATAATTATGCCAGTACCTTTGAAAAGTTAAACTAAAAAATTAGGCTTGATCTGAAGATCATCTTTGCCAGTTTTTGTATAGACTGTTTTAAGTCTGTCGCATTTTTTATGATAATCTAATATGACAGCGTGTCCCCGGAGTGCGATTTGAACTTGAAAGGTTGATCTGAGGACTTGATCATATGGTTGAATGGTTAGGAGAGGAGTGCATAAAAGCAACTCTAACTTTAACCCACTGGTTCTCGAGGTGTTAGCATTAAACATTGAAAAGAATCAGGAGACTGCCGCAGTTATTGATGGCGTGTCTCTGTAATGCATGAAAGTATTTACTTCAGAAGCTGCACTGTGTCCCGATGATGTAAATCATGTTGCAAATCGAGCATGCAGAATCGTGTTGCATAAACGAAACCACAATTTGATTTATTTTCTATATGAAATTTGATTTGATAATTGATGTTTCTGCCTCAGGCTTCCTAGAAACTCATTTACTCATTTATGTTTTATTCACTTTCAGATCAAGCAAACACATTAATAAATGAGCTACAATGGAGCAGCTTTTGTATTGCTTTTCCTATACATTTAATCTTCTCAGGCCCTATTTCTCCCTTTTCACTCTCTTTCTCTTTAACACACACAGGGTTAGTTCTTTCCTCGTCTTGTCTTTTTATTGCAGTGGACCAATCATATACATGTGTCTCAGTGCTAAGCTTCAACCCCATCAAGCATTCAGATCAGGTTTAGCTGGCAGCTAAACGGTCGAGAGGAAACATAGGGAGTTTCATGGTTTTGCATAACATTTAAAGGCTTAACTAATGAGCCTCTTTACCAAGTTAATTGAGACTCATCATGTCAATGAAGTATTCCCCATGTTGCCATAGAAACCACAAAGCAGGTTTTTTGGCAGGGTTTCTCGCTGACCGTGGGGTAATATAAAGAAATAAGAAGAGGGAGAACATGATAGTTTGCAAAAAGTGACTACATGCTAGCATGAGATATTGAGCTGGTGAAGTTATCAGCTAATTCCAGAGCGTTTCACATTTCTAAATGACATTATAAAGCATCTTGTGGATATGTGCTGTATAAATGATTTTTACTATAAATAAAAGGGGAACATGGCACAAAATGGCTCTAATATTCTCTATTCTCTATTTTTCCATTGAAATCTGCCATGTTTTGTTTCATATTTTGCTGAAAGCCTTATGCAAAAGAACAATGTGCAATAGAAATCCTTTTTTGGTGGAATGGAAAGACATCTCAGCCACATCAATTTTCCTGTCTCTTGCATGTCAGTCAGATTATCAGGCACGCCGTGGAGAAATTAAAAGCACAGCGCTGACACATTATGATCTCCATTCTAGATAATTCACTGGCATTGTAAGGGGAGAGAGCTCTTTAGGGCGGTTAAGCATTGTTATTACGGATCTGTGTTGATCTGACTTGTCATTGATCGCTGTCGTCGTCTGTGTTAGACAAGAAGACAGTGAGGGTTTGCACTGAAAGATAAAAACTGATATGCATTGCAAGACAACAAATATATTCATGCGCAGATAATCCTAAAACTGCTTTAGGTTTGTACTTTAAAAACACCCAGACGGTACAAAGTGCAACACTGCAATGAAATGCACATATTTTATGTGTTTGCACTGATACCCTTCACCTAGTAAGAACCAATTTCCAGTCAAGCTGGAATTCTTTTCGCTTTTGTGATGAGGATCTATTCTTTAAAGCAGCTTGGGAATAAAGCGTCTAGCTCACACAAAACACTAACAGGGGGTGGAGAGTGGGACTGTGGGAAGGTCACGGGGTGCCCCTATTTGGCCTCCTGTGACATCACGGAGCGGGTATGGTAATAATGGAACCTGTGAATGCTAACGACAAAACGCTGCCAGTCCTCCGGGTTCGATAATGGATGCGAGACAAGAATGAAACCCCCTCCACCCCATCGTTTCCTCTGTTTCAGTGTCTCTCCGTGCCACTCACTCCCTCACTTTAAATTACCATTACTGGGCTCTAGGCACAAGAACTGTCTCTGCTCCACTTGTCAGATGTGGGGCACTGAAGAGTCCTCTCTCGTTTCCAATCTCCACTCCTTGCTCTTTACATACCTCACTTGTGCCACCAGCGTATTTACAGATCATCTTGAATCTCGTTTAAAACTATTGCGGACATTCAATTTCAGCCCATCGCAGCGTCTAATCATCCCTGTGTGTCTCTATAAATAAAGCTGCACATGGATCTTGTTTCCTTTCTGAGCAAGCATCCACTCCTAAACAGCCTGTTTATAAGGCCACATCAGATTGAGGTACAATCTGTAATATACAACTCATACTAAAAACCGTCTGATCCTTGCAATCATGACATATCTGAGCCAGCAGAAAAGGCCTACAGGCTTAGAATAATAATGTTCGCCTGTGTGTATGTGCATATGTGAGTGTGTGTGGAGGCGGTAAAGATGCAGGCCTATGGATGTGTATGTTTCATCTGAAACAGGCCATTGCCTGACACGTGAGCACGTGGCTTTGAAAAACAACACACATCGCAGGAGCGCTTATGTGAGTTAAAAGACAAATACACAGGCAGATCACGTCCTCCCACTGAGTTTAAGGTCTCCTCTTACATTTCTATCACATTTCCCCTCAAAGTACCAACTTTGTAATGCAAACAGACAAAAAAGCAGCATGGCTAATGAGAAATCTGTGCCCTGAAAGTATTCCTGACAGTCTGTGGAAGTAAATCCTCCACAGCTGTTTGGGACATTTATAGATCTTTGGAGCCTGAATAAGCGGACAAATTTCCTCAAAGGAGCCGCTCATCCGACAGCTGTACTGAGCCTAGCGGGTGATGAATTAATTGCAACAACAACTGTATGTCTATCTAACCCCTTTCCAGCCCTCAATTCAGTCTAAATGTCACAGTCTCTCTCTCTCTCTCTCTCAAGAAGAAAATCTTAAAAGTGCTTCATCACCAAACTGAACCTCATTATTCTGCTGGAGGATCCCTGAAAAATGAAAAAAAAGAAAGAAAAAAGAATGTTTTGATTCGCATTTAAGTGATTTTTGTTGGGATTTTATGTTTGTTTTTTGTTTTGTTTTTGAGTGAATAATCTTTATGATAGGCCTCAGGATTTAGGTACCCTTGGGAGGTTTTGAAACTACTAGAAGCTCATCTAAGTCAGCTGTGACTTCTTAATGACTTGAGCATCTGTGGATAAACATATCACAGATGGCTGTACAAGCTCTGATAGTGTACTGCTCTCCCAGCTCTGTTTTTATTCTGTGCACATGCAAAGCCTGGTCAATAACTCGAACCTCTTTTTCTTTCCTCCTCCACACAGATTCTGCACCCAGATCCAGCGAGAGGGGAAATCATTCGTGTGTAATTACTAGATCTCCGCTACAACCATCTGCGAGGCAGCCTTATGTTAACAATGACCACCGCAGGACACAATAGATGGGTTTTCCGTGTAGAGCTGTTTGAATCTGAGAACATCTCTTTTTAAAAGGAGTGGGGGGGGCAAGACGTCTGCAAGCTAGAAGTGCTTGAAAAAAAAAAGATCGACTAACTGATTTAAGGCTGTGATTAAAAGCTTCCCGAAGCTGCAAGGCGACGAGGCGAAACCCCGAGGCTCAGCAGGTGTTTTGGCATCTCGAGTCAGTCCGTGTTGAAATGCATTTCAGCGCAACACCACACATGCGATTCACTGCAGCGCAGCAGTTTAATGGTCATCGCGTCTGATGCCTTACCTTTCATCCAGTCAACCACCTGACTAGAGCTCCACTTGCTCACGGGCTCCATAACCAGTGCCATGGTAGAAGTTTGTCTTCGCGCTTGACAAAAGAAAAAAAAAATCCCACGCACACACTCCCCACAAACCAAACTCCCCACCCAAAACGTTAAAAAAAAAAAAACAAATAGAAAGAAAATTAGAAAAGATATTAAAATAGGCTTGATTCAGTGACCATCTAAAGTCTTCTGTGATTGGTTTGAGTATTTACAAACAAATCGAGGTAGGTCCAAAAGGTCCAAAATGTCGCTGTGAGAAGCCCGAGTGCAGCTCGGCGGACTTGTGCACATTCATGTGCTCTTCACTTGCTTGAAAGAGCTCTTTTACTTGTGATTCATGTCAGGCTCGGATGCTGGTGGGTCGCTGCTGCCCGACCCCTCTTCCAAAATGCATCCCAGTACCATCCAGAGCGGAGAACAACGCGCAGACTGTTTCTTCGCACTGGCGTCTGGGAAGGATGGGTTCGCTCTGAGCATCCTCCCTCATACACAGACATGGAGTCATAGCTTTCACCGCGCGGAGTGTACCCTCTGTATGTGGTGTGATTAATGCCACAAGAAGCCAGGAGGAGTGCGAGCAGGGTGGGGTGGGGGCTGTTAATGGGAATGAATGGTTCCAGATTATAAGGGATTTTGATAAGAAGAAGTGCTGGATCCATGTAAAGCTTTTGGAGTGGCAGAACTTATTTGCCATGTTTTTAGCAAAGCACTCATCAACCACAGCCCACAGGAAAGCAGTGGTAATAAAAATGTAAATAAAAAAATTAAAAGTGATTTGTATATTAGCTTGTATTCTTTAATTAGAAAAACCCTACAAAATCTTATCTAGAAAATTGTGACTCTAGTCAAGTATATAAGTTTTGATAAACATCTAGAAAGATAAAGGTACATAATAGAGGTCGGCACTTAATTCCAAAATCTTTCTGGATCATTTGAAAATTGAATTGTACTTTTCATTTCTTTTGGTTAAATATCAATAATACTAATTTTACTGTGTATCTTCAGGGGGCTACAGTTCAAGAAGACACCCAGACCCACGAGTCACCAGTGTTTAGGCTAGAAACTAAACCCCACTGATTTATCAGTTGGCTAATATTACTGACCAGTGGTAGATATTTGTCAATTATCTATTGACATGGTATTTATAACAGCTGATAAATTAAAATTTGAAAAGTAAAGAAGAGATGGAAGAAGCATTCCATGAGTGTTGAGATTGCATAGTTTGTCCACCAGAGGGTGTGCTGCATCGCCTGTTGGCCATATTTCTTTGTAACACAATAGAATCAGGCAGTGTGTAAACAAGTAAATGAATAACTACAGACAACAAATATTACGGAAAACAGCTCCGTCTTCACCACAACAGATTTGCATTGAGGAGGTCCAACTGTAAATCTACTTTCTCATCACTCCTGAACAAAATCTTGAGACTCCTCCACTTGGGGCAACGACTCATTCCCAGCTTAGGATGCTGTTTCCACTCATTCCCAGCTGAGAATCAAAGCCTCTGACTTGGAGGTTTCTAAATCTCATCCCAGCCACTTCACACTCAGCTGCAAACCAATCCAGTACGAGCTGAAGGTCTTCGCTCCATAAAGCCAGTACCGTGTCATCTGTAAACAGTAAATATGCGATCCCGAGGCATCTGCGTTAGACATCGAGCAGTTTTGGCCAATGACAACTAGAAATGAGCCTTAGCATATGTATCATTTTTTATAAAAAATATTTTATAAATACTTTAGTTTGTATTATTTGTATTATCAATAAAAAGCTAGGTCCATTAGAAAATCTAGGAAAGTACTCACAGAAAGAGCCCAATGAGACACTGTCAAATGCTACTGAACTGAGGAGTCAATGCCACACTTGACCCTATTCACTATTATGCAATAAGAACCTGAAACCATCAAAAGTTTTGCATTTTTTGCTTGAAAAATGTTTTCAAATGCAGATGCGGTTGTCTGTGTTACTGTGTTTGTGTCCATGTTTCCATAACAGTTTGCCAACCACACCACTGTGGTCACATTTTTTAAAAAAAGTGGTCACTAAATTAGTTACACATATAATGTTTAGGAAATGCTGCACTTAAAGGGACCTTTGTTGTTAATATCCTATGCTTTCCCCCACAGGGCATAAGCTTTTGCAGCGCTGATAACAGGCATGCTGCTTGGGAAAAGAGAACAGCCTGCTTTTTGTCTTCTGAACACTGCACACAATCTGACGACGACCCGTCATTACACATGCCACTAACTCCATCAGGCCGAGTGGGTATTCTGGGAACCACTTCTCCTCTTTTCCTTTCAGGCCCTGGGGCACTAATCACCCCTCATACAGGCCACTGTTTCCTCCTGCTGTCTTTGTCGCTGCTCACGCCTCCATCACACAAAGCGCAGTGTAGTGGAAACAACGATCACCACCGAGACAAGGATGCTGACATGTGCCTGTGTTTTTCTTTTTTTCATGTATGGGTAAACAGCTTCGGGGGGAAAGCTTAGTGCCTGGAAATGGTAACTCTGCATTTTAACTAAGAGCAGTAACATATAAATACACTTTTTTTTTT